CTTTACAGTATTCATTGCGTAGCTCAGTGTACGTACGTATAACTCCCTCCTGCTGCAGGTCAGACAGGTGTCCCAGTGCGTCCAGGTATCTTTTGTCTCTATAGTCCCACCAGTGGAACTGAACACAGTCCAGACTGTCCACCTGCATACGGGACATGGAGCGCTGCAGCGCCTTCTCCACCACCTGCACACCCACACAGAGACACATCAGCCCATGTTTCTACTGTTGTCAGTAAAAATAAAGACATAGAACCCATTTAATGTGTTTCATTCAACCTTAAGATCCAGATTCAGAAGTCTATCTGCAACAGAATTTAATTTAAATGTAATGTAACACAATAAAGAGACATGCAAAAAAACTAATTTTGATTTAGAATTCCACTGTCAGCGATATGAATGAAGCTTTGAGGCTTCAAACTATTCGGTACAGCTGTAATGTGTTCTGACCACTACTGATACTGGATCTTTGACGGAAGAAATAACATACCACCAGTAAATCTGATTTCTTGTGATGTGAATTGTTTTCACAGTAATAAAACAAAGCTCACAGACGGAATCATTTAACGAGACACAACACCAACACATTTCCTGTGTATTTCCTATGCCGCTTCACATTGAGCGCGGTTACATGCACACTAATAAACTGATTATCTGATTTCTGGAGTTACCTGATTATTCAAGTGGTCATGTAAACAGCATGATCCGATATGCTTTAATCAGATAAAAGCCATTATCTGATTATGATAAATCAGATAAACACATCTAGCTTTTCCCCAATAGTCACATTATTTGGTGCATGTATACCCTTTAATCTGGTTTCTTTCTGGTTTTGCTATTTTATACTCCCACTCCACTACATTTTAGAGGGAAATATTGTACTTTCTACTCCACTACATTAATCTGACAGCTTTTGTTTCCTTTCAGATAAAGATTTTACATAAAATAATATACTTTTATATTCTCAGTGTTTAAATTGTCACTTTTATTTTATCTTACGTATATATTATGCCCCTTTGTGTGACAGGTGCTATGTAAAGTTTATACACAATACACTTGTATATTGCACTTTGCAGTACTTTTACTATAAATCTACCTAAAGTATGTAAAATTGGCTCCACATTCATAAACTACACATTAGAATGCTCTCACATGTATTTGTTAATGATAAAAACAAACACTACTGTAAGAATATAAGCTGTCAGCATGATGAGTGCTTTATTCTGCAAATATATGACTTGTGTACTTTTCAAGGTTTTTCAAGGATATGAGTACCTACTGTAACAGGAAGTTTGAGTTATATGTCATGTACTTGAGGAGAAATCCAACTGAAGGACTGAATCATGTAAACCAGGTTTTTCTGATTATCAGATTATTGAAGTGCACGTAAACGCGTCAAATCGGATTATTACCATTACCTGATTATTCCCAATTATCTGATTATTGTGCGCATGTAAACATGCTCAGTGTTGAGTAGCCCAGTAAAGGTGATGCCTGGTTCTTTGTAAAGACACACACTGCTCTCTAGTGGATGAAACTGTTCTTACTGTAAGACATGGCAGATTGAGTGCGAGTGTCACTCTTGTCTTGACACATTTGTCAGCAGCTCACCTTGCGGTCCATTGGTCCTGTCCTCGGCACGAATTTGGTCAGACCCTGCAGAGGGACGTCACTCCCAGAGGATTTGTACTTCTATCGATCAGATAAAGAGTAAGAAAAATTATAATTACAAACTACAAATGTGAATTGAGCTATGTCTTGCTTTTGTAGCTGGCACTTACATATTGTCATCTATTGATTTAATATCTTGTAAATTATTAAATACTGCACAATTGTTTTTTTATCTGCCGGAATTACTGTACAGCAACTTATTTAGCAATGATGCAGGAGGTATATGCTGATCAGTGAATTGTAAGGCGACAAGAATCTGGAAAGCATGTGTATTAAGGTAAAATGTGAGACAGAGAGAAAAGCTGGTTGGGGGAGAAAAGAGCTCTCTGTCTCTCTGCACATTATTCCAGGTGAGCGGCTGAGACCATGGTCGATACCATTAGACTGTCACAGCACATCAGCCACAGAGACTCTGATCTAAGCCACACCGGGACCTGTGAGTGTGTGTGTATGTGTGTGTGTTAAGAAGAAGGGCAGAGAAAGCATTAGCTCCTCCTCAATGCTTCTGTGAGTGCTTGTGTGTGAGCACAGTGTTGGAGCATTTCTTAATGCATGTGTTGAGTATCTGCAGCTCTGTGGAGAACAGACACTAACAGCTGGATGGACAAATCAATAACTAGGAAGGACTGAGCTTACACGGTCCTACAGTATGAATGACAACTATGTTCGTCACACTTACCTCAAGAAAATTGTATTCAATTATACACTTTATCCTGAATGCTGTTAGTTTACTTAAATGTAAAAAAAAAAATGTTACGGAAATTTATTTCTGGCTTATATGCAACTATTTAAATGCTTTTTTTCCTGAGTTATGGTCATTTTCACTTCATTGCTGTTCCAAAAGACGATCCTAGGAATGCTTTTGGGAGAATTTACAAACAAAACAGATAGTGTTTTTTCTGCAAACAGCCTGTTTTCTTATTGAACCTGTCTCCTTTTCTCTGTATCTGTTTCTTGCACAGGTCACACACACAAACAGTGGCCTCTGTGGCACACTACCTTCAATCTACAACAGTGCATCAGCTCCCTCTTGTGTTTTATGTGGATGGATCAGGGGAAAGAGATCATATCTCACGGTGTGATCACTGATGTCTCTACAGATATTCCCAGTCATCAGCTAAACTTAATTTATGTTTACATGTGAATTTATATTTGTTTTTTGTATTGTTTCGTTTTTTGTTCATTATTTTTTTTAGGTTCCATACTGATTCTTTTTTTCAACCCATGGAGTAGCATTAATGCCAAATTTTAAAACATTAAATCAGACATGGGTACAATTAGGACACTTCTTGTACAGGGCCTTTGTTGCATGCCATCCACATCAATTAACTATTACTATTATTAATTATAATAATATATAATATATAATATGTTATAATATAATAATTATTATTATTACAGTTTTTAACAGTTATTCAGGGGACAAGACACTTGAGTTACATAGCTTTTAGCCAACAGTGAAGTTTATTTTGAAATCCGCACAAACTAAATAAAATGATTCATAGTACACCTGATTATCATTTCATTATTCTCATCTTTGCCACTGAATCACTCCTTATGATAATGTCATGTATTGGAGAGACAGAAACTGAACAAAACAGAAAGACAGACGACACGCATGTGTGAGCAAATAAATTTATCACACTTTGTAAAAATGACTACCTTCAAACGTGCGTGGGTGTGTGTCTGTGTACCTTGTTGAATTGTCCAAATATATCCTCTGCAGGCCCATAAATGTCTGCCATGTCAAATGTCGTCAGACCAGCGTCTACGTAGGCCTGCATGGCCTCAACTGGAGTGACAAGAGGGAAACATTTAGAGATTAAATGCATATATAGTTCATTATTATTATTATTTGTAGTTAAGATTTCTATTTTCCTTTTTTCTCAGTGGTTCTCCGAGTATCTTCATTTCAGTGTTTGCTGAAGTTGAGCATTTTCCTTACACATTCCTCCCCTTTCTTTAGCACCGATTGGATCCTTTCACTCTTGTTCACTCATTAACCTGACTGAGTTCACCTGTTCCCCCCGATTTAAACCCTGAACACCACTTCACTCATTCTGTCTTCATCATAAGCAGTTTCTTTCCCGTTAATTTATCCTGTCCATCATAATTTCACTGAGCATTGATTACCCTGATGGACATTTGTTTACTTTGATTTAAGTTCTAATTTTGTATTTGTTTCTTTCAGATTTAAACCCATGACTGATCCTCCTCCTCCTTAACATTATCATCATAAAACAGCAGTTAGGCAATGCTAAAGGCAGCCCAGTTGGAGAGAGTAAGTTGGAAAATCACATTTTCATTACTATTATTTGTGTCTGAATCTACTTGACCTTTAAATGTTTTCTTGAGCTCGTTCAAGCTATTCCAGTTTTTGTTACACTGTGGGACACAGCCTTTCTGCACAACCTTTGCACACTGGCAACTGAGGGACCTTGAAACATGGCCTAGTTTATCTGCTTTAATCACAATAATCTGTTAACTGCTGTAGCAGCATGGTATGGTGTAATAAGTGGCAGTCCATAAGCTAAAATAAGATGACAATGTACCCTCTTCCTGTGTTTTAATTATCGCATTTTTAAACTGGCACAGTCTGGTTTGACAAGTGTACCATCTAAACTTCATGATGTCTATCAGGTGATTGAATGTATCATAAAGTATCTGAACAAGTGTATTGATTGTTTTCTTTTCTAAGCTGTTGATCCTCTCTATGGAGTCCCCAAAACACCAAGATGCTTTGAAAATGTCTGCACCCATGTTATAGGTTAATGTTCACCTGCTTTGGCATTATCCACCGCTCCGTGCGCCCCGGACACCTGCCACATCCCGTTCAGCACACGACAGATCTCCAGACCTCCGGACAGTCTCACTTTGGGCACCGTGGACATCCTGCTGCTGGTGCCGGGGAAGTAGCTGCTTTACACGGGTTTGACAAAATAACGCGATGGATAAAAGACACACTTATCAGTCGACTTCATGCATTCACCTGTTAGAACCTGCAGGATATAAACACAAAAATAAACCGCTGCAACAAAAATTACTTACTTTACGTTTCTGACCAGACGCAGCCGACCAGCCGCCAGGAAAAACAAACTTCAGCTCACAACTGTTACAAAATATTTTGCGTAAGTGCGTTATAAAAGCCACGAGTGTTTCAACCAATCGCTGACTGTTTAGCCGGAAGTACACTTCTTCTTCTATAGCAGGTTAGCTGTTGCTTTGCTGCCCCCTGCTGGATAAAAACTGTCACTGGAGAAACACAAAACACCTGAACCAGTTTTTTAAAAACTTTTTGCAATAAATTCAAAAATAATGACACAGAGACGTAATACAGTAAAAAATAATCTTTACTTTTCCGTCACATTCTCCACATTAATGGAGCTCTCTACATAACACACTCCCTCCAGACAACATGCTATAGCAGTCCAGTTTCAAACTCTTCATCACTCCACTGCTGCCGCTGCCTTCTTCTTCTTCTTCTTTTTCCTCTTCCTCCTCTTCTTCTTGCCAGGTGTGCCTTCAGCCTGTCCTTCTGCAGGTGTCGGTTTGTCCTCCGTCTCTGAAGCTTCAGACTCTTCCTCTGATGATGCAGGTCTTTTCTCGCAGGTGGGCGGGCTGGGTGGTGTCACCTCTGGCTCGCTGTGACAGAACACACAGCTACAGTCAACCTTTGCATCTAATGTCAGAATAAAACTACTGCTCATGTGTACTAAAAGCTTCTTTAAAACATGTTAGATTCCACTTAGTTACAGGTATGAAATCAGCATTAATTTACAGATCTGATGCACTGGCATGTACTGTAAATAAAACTGACTGGATGTCTCTTGGAAATACAAATTTTAAGCAAATATGACTAACAGCATTTTTCTAAATTATTACAATGGGATTTAAAATGTTATTTTATAACTTTACATGACACCTCAGTATTTACCTTATCTGAACCACTGGCTCCTGCTTCTTGTTCGCAGCCTCACTGTGTTTCTCCAGCAGAGCCACAAAGAAGCCGTGTGTGCGGGTCTTGGCTGTGCTGGCACGCAGGCAATGAGTGAGCGGCTGCAGGCCTCGTTCAGGCCACTGAGGCAGCAGATGGACCAACCTGGAGGAGAACACAAACACATTCAGGGAACAACTCCATCAACATTGATTTCTGAGGTCAAAAACTGAGAGCTGGTGTCTTCAAACAAGCCCCAGAACTATAATAATGGCAGAGTGGACAGTCAAATGCAAATGCTCCACGTGACATGACCCAGACAGAGAACACTGTCTGGAACACTGGCCGCGTCTTGTCAGAAACGTAAAGCAAGAGAAAAGAGAACACTGGAAAAAGCACATGCTCAAATGTTTGCAGATACAGAGACATCATAGTGTTGTCACGATACCAAAATCTTTGTTTCGGTACCGATACCAATATGAATTTCGATACTTTTCGATACTCTTCGGTACTTTTGCTAAGGAAAAGTCCTTTTGGATACAAACCTTTAGAACAATAAATAGTAGGGGTGTAACGGTACCAAAAAAATCATGGTTCGGTAAGTACCTCGGTACGGATGTCACGGTTTGGTTGCTCAAATGTTTCACCAAGTTGGTGTTGTCTCGTGTTGTCTCCCTTTGCGAGGCAGACTTTCTCTTGTCTTTTTTCATGTGCGCCAGCTGTGAATGTTGATACAAGTGGTGTCAATCACACCACTTGTACAATCTGTGCTCCAATAGGAACAAGAAAGGCGTTTGTGTGCATAAATGAGTAAAATAAATTAACTAAATTAATGAACTGAATCAATTTCAAAGTACTGGTATTTTCCAAATGCAGTATAGTACCGTTTGGAATACTCCAGTACCGCGGTACTATTTTAGTACCGGTATACCGTGCAACACTAAGACATCACTAGGTTTGCTCTAAGTCAGTGAGAGTGCACTGGTGCTACCTGAAGTTGGGGTTCTGCTGCAGACAGGCAGCGACAACGTCCTCGTTCTCCTGGCTGTGGATGGAGCAGGTGGAGTAGACCAAGCGCTTCAGGCGAGGGAACTTGAGGCCATGGTTCAGGCACCGCAGCTGGAAGGAGGCCAAGGAGGCCAGACGAGCCTGAACCTTCTCCTGGTCATCAGAGGACGGGTCGTCCCGTAGACACACCATACCTGGACCACACACACAGACAACAGACATTTATTTCAATCCTAATTTGTTTGTATCAAGGCACTCTAGTGTTGCATGTACACTAAATATACTGGTTAAAGAAAATTTTAATACTGATGCAACAATGTCAGAGTAAGGGGGCTGCCTATGGACGGGTGCCCTGAGGAGTTGGCAGTTCAGTGCCTTGATCAGGGGCACCTCGCCGATGTCCAGGAGGCAAGCTGGCAACTCTCCACAAGTATTAAGTTACATAAAATGCATGGATATACTCTAGTAAAGTACACGTACATTAAAAATGTATAACTGCAGTAACATTCAGAATAATGTCCTTTATGCTTTCCACCACTTGCAAAAAATGTAAGTGACAAAACCTGTACAAGCTGGACAGAGAGCTGACTCTGACCCAGTGACCCCTGGCTGTGATGATTTAGGGAATTAAAACAGCTGGTAAGCTGACAGTGATGTAACAGGAGGGATGCAGCAATGAGATGCAGAGGGAATAAGCACTAAAATGGTTTGTAATAACTGCCTGATTGCTCAAGATAGATCGTGATCATATACGATTGCATGATGCATGAATCATGTGACTATGAAACCATAGTCACATGATTCATGGGCTCACTGGGATGTCAAGGACTTGTAAGCAGGTGATCAGAAACCTGGATAACACACAGGAACAACTGGATACTCTACCTGACCCACTGCAAGATGGATCCAGCAGGACATACTCCACATCTTTAAACTGCGGGCTGTCAGGGTCTACCTTCAGGAAGTCCTCGTTGGCAAGCTGCTGACAGGTGACCCCAGCTCGGAGCAGGAGAGTGGACATGGTGGCCAGACGCTTGGCATCCAAATCAAAGGCAAACAGTCTGCCCTTGTTCTTCATGATGGCTGCCAGGTGGCTGGTTTTGTTGCCAGGAGCAGCGCAGGCATCAATGACATGGCTGCCAGGCGGGGGGTTGAGGAGGTACGCTGGGAGGCAGCTGGCCTTGTCCTGCAGAATGATGTGTCCGGCCTTGTACAGGAAGTGGTCATGGAAGTCAGTTTTAGGAGAGAAGACCAGCAGCTCTGGCAGATGCAGGTCCTTCACAAAGTTCTTCTCCTTCAGGATGAAGTCATCCAGCCTGGAGGCCTGTCCCCTGTAGGTGAAGCCCTCTCTCTTCAGATAGTCCACAGTATCCTCTACAGTGGTCTTCAGGATGTTGACACGCACATACCTGGGCAGCTGGTCCCCAACACGCTGCTGGACGCTGGCCGGGAGCAGGTCCTCATTCCTGCTGACCTTCTTCTTCACCTTCATGCGGGCCAGCACCGCCTGCAGTCTAGGGCGATGCTTCATCATCATGGTCTTCCAGGAGCCGCCGCACTTCACCCCCTGGCCCAGCAGCAGGTCATACACCAGCACTTTGGCCAGGGGCATCCTCAGCTTGGTCTGTTTGAGCAGCTTGGTGGACTCGATGATCTCCTCCAGGACGGAGGAAAACTTCTGAGTTTCGCATACCAGAGCGAACAGCTGCTTGATGTTGGAAAATTTGCTGTCGTAAACCAGAGTTTTCAAAGCGCCCTGCTTACTCTCGGCTTTCTCCAGGATCTCAGCGGCTTTCAAGTACAGAGCCATGGCGAAACCTAACTTCAGCTAGCTAACGACTACTCCGTTAGCTTATCGGCTAACTTACGCTGTAGTGTTTTTCTTTTGACAACTGGCCTGACACATCCCTCGTTCTGCCGGAGCTTCCTCCTCTCTATGCGGGTACAGCGAGCGGCTTTGCTTACTTTATTTACGTTTAATAAATACAGCTTCACACTTACTTTTCCACCATGCACATGGCAAACGGAGGGTCGTGACTCCGGAAGTAGTAGCCGACGTCAGACTGTTTTCGTCTGACGTAGTGGCCTTCCCAGCCAATCACCGGTAACTACCTAAAGATAATTAGTGCACTTTGTTCTTTTTACTGTAACTAATATTACACACCTTACATATTAAACACGTTAAAAATCATATTCTAAAAAAAATAGTAAATATTTTATTATATTTTTATCTTTGCTCCTTTTGTCTGCACTTTTGCTATTCTAATGATTTTTTTTATTATAAAGTATATACAATTGCAATTAATTTAGTATTTAATTTCACATTTTATATCTTTTTTTCTCTTTATTCTTTTTCTGTATCCTTTATCTTTTATTGCTCTGTAAAGCACTTTAAGTTGCCCTTGTGTATGAAATGTGCTATACAAATAATGCTGCCATGCCTTCCTTGATTTCCCATGGCCATTTTGGTACTAAGTAAGTTTTCTGTTATTAGTAAATTTTATTCTTCCTAATCCTTTCAATCTGGGATGTACGACATAAATTACTTTATATACTTAATTAGTCATCCTGTCACCCTTTTGAGTGACTGTTCTCAGCCGATCACAGTATTAATTATACTCAAACTAAGATAGTGCTCTTGGAAAACAGAAATTAACATGAAAACCATAGGCTTCAGGTACAGGAAACTGTAAAGAGAATAGCTTTATTCTTTAATATACAACATACATTCTCTGGATATTTCCATGTGGCAACACAAGGGGTCAAAGCACTCAAGTTCACTCTGATGTTTATTACCTCTGTGATCAATCATCACTGCTATAAAATCAGTCAGCTGTCATTCAATATAAACTTTAGTTTTTTTAAAAGCATACCCATCTAATAATGTCAACATAAAATGCAGAGTGACTTTTCCCATCGACCCCATCAAACATCACAGTCCAGTTAAGAACAAAACAGTTGAACGTCAAGGCTTTCGAGAAAGCAACGCATTGTGGCAACTTTGAAGCATTGCTGACCAATAACCAATGTAAAATATACACAAATTGTAAAAGACTAAGACAATACACATGGCTTTTACAAAAAGCTGAAAAAGTGCAGCCTCTCATTTAATTTACCGTCACCTGATACACAGTCTGTCTGCACTTACTGTATAACATACACAACAAATAAATTACAAGGAAGAACAAAAACATGATTACAAAAATGTACAATGCATTGTCTGGCACTCCTAAATTTTTACATGAAAACATTACTCACTTTTTGCTTTAGGTACTGAATAGCCACACTGTGTAGGAGTACAGCAATAAATATCCACTTTCTGCATAAAGAAAAACACAGGCTGATGTTAAGGGTATAAATGTATATGTGGGTGTGCACTGTCTGACACACTGTTTTTTTTATATTACCAGTAGGAGTCACAAAGTCAGAATATTTCAAATCCTACACATCAGGACTTCGACCATAGACGCATTTTCTCCTTTGTCTTTGAAAGGTTAGCAGCAGCAAAAGGTTTTCCGAGAATTCTTGTTCTAAAGGCATTTTTAACTGTCACTTAATATTACATTTTTAGTGTTGCATTATGCTCAAATATGGGAAGTATTTAATACATACTGCTTGAAATGCAGTTCAGCTACTTTTTGTGAAGCGAACCGACCGTTTACTTTCACTTTCACAGAGAAATGACTACAGTCTGTGCTCATCCTGCTGGCTGCCATTGTGCTGCATCTCGTTAATTCTGCAAAACGGATATTTTGAGTAGCTTGCCCTTATCTTCAATATACTTGTAATATATTTTGCTGCTGTTAACTCCTATTGCAAGTTGAAACATTGTTGTTCTCAAGTAGGTGATAGTGATAGTGCCAGCTGGGTGTGAAAGCATTGTACTGAGTACAGAATAGCAAGTGTGGAGGACAGAATAACCAGAACCAATAATCACTTAACCCATCAGTGTTTAGTGGCCCCACCAGGTTTTTTGACAGTTTTTGTCTTTAAAGAGTTTTTGTATAGAAGCAGTCTCTCTGTGGTGTGTGATGGCAGGCGGTTCCTCTTGGCTTTTACAATACACGCTGCCATCGGACACAGACGGTCAAAGCCGCCTGAGGTGGCCGGAACTGCCAGCAGCTTCCTAGCGATGCCCTGGAGCGTAGGGAACCGAGTTGCAGATTTCCAGTAAGACACACTGGAGTTGCTTTCCCACAGTGGTTCTGCAAGGTACACGTCAAGCTCTGACATCTTCATTGTCTTTGCAGGCGGCTGAAGGAAGTTAAAGATGGACTTGCGCTTGCGGTCATTTCCACTTACTCCCTCACAGTTGTTATCATCTGAGCTGCCACCAGATGCCTCCATCAGCGTGTTGTCTCGGCTCTCCTCTGCGCCATCCTGGTCCTTTTTCAACTCCTTGCTTGTCTGGTCTTTATCTGTCTCTACAGCGGGAAATGCTGAGGCCACCACACCTCTTAATGTGGCTTCCACAATGTTGCGAGCTTCATATTTTGATGGGGGAGTTAAGAAACCTGTCTGGTCCTCTTGTTTGGCATCAGAAAACGGCTGGAAAAAAACATTCAAGCAAGGATGAGAGTTCTGATTGTGATTGTGGACAGGTACGATACACATATTTGTTTTTGATGCACTCAAATATGTAACAAAAAGCCTAAATAAACACAGCTCTACAGAAATGTATAGGAATAAATATAAAAAGGATATAAGATGCCATTTGATGCAATTTTGCAGCCCAACTTTCAAGTTTTTAGTTCATCAACTCTTTGGATGCAAAATGGTAAAGCATGACAAGACACCGATGCTTCTGTCCTAATTCAATACCTGCAGTTTGATCCTAGGGTCGAGCACAGCCGCTAATATGATGTCCTTCTGGTGAATCAGGGACTGGAAATGTTTGTGGAGGCCTGTGCGCAGGGCCTTGTTGAAGTGGGTGTAGTTGGTGACGAGGCTCTCCAAGGTCTTATCAAGGCCAACGAGGGAAGGTGTGATGAAAGAGATGGTCACTCCATTTCCTTGCAGGACCTGGTTAACAAGAGCCAAAAAAGTAAATTATTTCACATCATCTTCAACCAACAATACCACAATACTACATTACTGTATTTCCAATACAATATTTTCAACGATAATAAAAACTAAGTCCAGGCTCAATGCACGACTGACAAGTAGTGACATCAGTGCTGCAACATTAATAGATTCATAACAATGTTTCAGCAAACTTTTGGTTGCTGCCGATACACAGGTTAGACCCGTAGATGCAGCTGGCCACCAGCCCGCTGTGACTCCCGCTGCTGGAGTTTGTGCTGGCTGAATTTGTGTTGCGATAATCACTAACTAAAGGTCCATCTCTGCTCTCCTCTCAAAACAGTCTCCTAGTGGCAGGGAGTGAGACAGGGGGGACCGTGGGGTGCACTACCTAACTAATTCTTGTCTCATTTGTAGTCTGATAAACAATAATATATCAAATTCAGTGCCCCATATTGGTGTTTTCCTAACTACTGTAGCTGTCATATTTCATGGGACCTCGACTGTGTTTTCCAAGGCAATGCAGCCATCGAGGCTTTCACCATATAGTGTGATTTCATCTAAAGTAGGTTGTTTAAATGATAAAGAAATCTGTTGTGAATGTGTGTGTGAGAGAGACAGAGAGCAAGAGTGTGAAAATGGAGCAAGGAGAAGCTGGGCAAACCAATTTGCTGCATTCTACAATGAAATAAGGATTTAATCCATGATAATATAATAGTAAAAAAAAAAAAAAAAGAAAGAAAAGAAAATCAATATGTGACAGTCAACACTGACATTGAGGTGGCCACAAGTAAATCAATGGATAGGAAACACTGCACAATGTTTTAACTAGCTTTGTTTTAGTAATTCAAAGTGCCAAACTCAGAACAAATGTCTGTCAACAGTCAAAAAAACAGTAATAGAAGAAAACCATGATAATTTTCTTAATTCCAGTATAAATAGGAGAGACTTGGTTTCCAAAAGGTAAATTAAGGTTTAAAAAAACACCTACATATTTACAAGTTATATGACATTAACTTTTTTTTTTTTTTTTTTTACCTGCAAGGCCTCCTCAAAGGGCTCAAGCAGACCCAGGATGTCGATCACTTGCTCCCTCTTGGCCATGATCAGAGGCGGGACGCTGGCTGTGTCATTTGCCTCTATGCGAGCCTGGGCTAGGAGAGTCATGACGGTGCTCCAGGCGGACTCCTGCACCATACGGCGTAAAGCTATCATCATGGAGTTCCAGCGACAGTTACTGGAGGAGTGGCACAGGGACACATTGCACTCCTTCAACAAGACCTAAACAATACAATGATTTAAAAAAAAAAAAAAAAAAAGGTCAAGTTGAAACATTTCAGGAATTAAAAGTCTTATCTCCTTGAGTCTCTGCTGCTGTGAACTTACAAGAAAAAATTGTCAGACCATAATTGTACAAGTTATAAAGATATAACTGTGATGATAATTGTTTCATCTCAAGTAGCACAATGTCATTATGGTCAGAACTTGTTTAATTTGGGATTTCACATTGATTTACAGCTCACAAAAAAACCTTTACATAATCAATACAGCTGATGTTAGTGAAAAAGGTTTATGGATAAAGATATATTTCTTCTTAATAAGGTCTGGTGTGTGGCTGCACAAGTAAAACACATACTGTCTCATTTGGATGTAACATTTATAAAATCTGAAAAATGGACTTGAACTGAATTATATACTTTTGTAAAAAGAATGTAATACAGTGTAAAATAGACTTGCAAAATCCATTTTATTTCTCCTACCTCGCTCCAGTAGGCGCTGCTCCTAAAAAAAGCCACCACATTGTGGACCTGTGAGAGCAGGTTTTCCACAACCCTGGAGTTCTTCAGTGCCTCCTTAATCACAAGCTGCAATTTCTGGGCCACACAAGGAGTTTTGGTCCCAATCTGAAGCTCTGAAAAGGGGGACTCTGTTTCAGACATCTGGTCTGACAGAAATGCCACCACCTCATCTCCATCTGATTCGCCCCTGTTTGATGAACACATGATCTTGTAGTCACA